ATGCATCCATATGTTCCTTGCAGTATTATTTACAATGGCCAAGATGTGGAGGCAGCTGTGTGTCCATCAATGGAAGAATGGATAAAAAGAAGTGGTACATATATACAGTGGAATATTGCTCGGTCATGGATGTAATGGGTTCTTGCCATCTGCAGCGGTATGGATGAACCTGGATGGTATATTGCTAAGTGGAGCATGTCAGACAGAGAAAGACAGATGCAATGTGATTTCGTTTATATGTGGAATCTAAGAATAAGATTAAGAAACCAAATAGAAACAAACTCATAGATACAGAAAACATTTTGATGGTTGCCAGATGGGAGGGGGTTTGGGAGTGTGGGTGAATGAAGGGGAAGGGATGAAGAAGTACAAATTGGTTATTACAAAGTAGTTATGGAGAGGTAAAGTATAGCATAAGGAATATAGTCAATAATATTGTGAAAACTATGTATGGTGTCAGATAGGCACTAGATTTATTGAGATCATGGATGGAAGGGGGTTGGGGGTCATGGTGAAAAAGATGGAGGGATTAAGAAGTACAAATTAATAGTTACAAAATAGTCATGGGCATGTAAACTAAAGCATAGGGAATATAGTCAATGGTATAGTAATAACAATGTATAGTGCTAGGTGGGTACTAGACTAGTCAGGGGGATCACTTCTTAAATTATATAAATGTCTAACCACTATGCTGTATACCCAAAATTAATATAAAATATTGAATGTCAACTGTAATTATAAAATTAAAAGGGGAGGAAAGGTGAAAGGGAATAAGAGGTTGAACTTTCCAGGTAAAAACAAATAAGTCATGGGGATGTAATGTACAGCTTAGCGAATATAATCAATAATATTGTGATAGTGTGGTACGGTGTCAGTTGCTGGACTTATCATGGTGATCACTTCTTTAGGTATATAAATGTTAAATAACTATGGTGTACTCCTGAAACTAATATAATATTGCATGATAGCTATATTTTTAATAAAAATCTTTTAAAAAAAAGTAAGGGAGACTCCCTGATTCCCACTTTAAATGTGACTAAGGAAGATTATATACAATGAAGGGCTACAGAGAATAGTAGACATGGTACATGGGAGTTTCTCCCAGAAAGCAGAATCAGGATCTAATCAAAGGTGGGTAACTGTGGTAGGCAGAATTTCTAAAATGCCTCCCTGAAAGGTGTCACATACCCCAATCCCTGGAGCCTTTGAATATGTTATGTTACATGGTACACTTGACCTTAAAATAGGGAAATCATCTGTGCAGGCTAAATGCAATCACATGAGCCCTTAAAAGTAGAAGGCTTTCTCTGGATAATGGTAGAAGTGGAAGTCAGAGAAATTAGAGGTGTGAGAAGGACTCAAATTGTTATCACTGCCTTGAAAATGAAGTGGGCTGCATGAAAAGAAATGTGGACCACCTCAAGGAGCAAGGAATGGACACAAGCTGACAGCCAGGAGGAAATGGGGACTTCATTCCTACAACCTCAAGGGAATGAATTCTGCCACCAACCTGAATAAGCATGGAAATGGATTCTTCCCCAGAGCCTCCAGGCGAGAGAGCCCAGCCTGGCTGGAGCCTTGATTTCAGTCTTGGGAGATTCAGAGGAGAGGACCCAGCTAGGCCCAGCCAGACTTCTGACTTATACAGTGGTGAGATAACAAATGGGCATTGTTTTAAGTCATTAAGTCTGGAATAATTTGTTACACAGCAATAGAAAGCTGATACAGTAGCCTTTATAATGTCTCTTCATTGGTATTCAGGAAATCCTATGGCTGAGTGTCTGTTGTATCTCCTATTCCTCTCCTTTAAACATGGCAGTTTTTATGGAGGTTATCCAGATCCTGCTTCACCATTACATATGTGCGTTGGGGGGGACAGCATATAACTTTTTTAGTTCATAGGTTACCAGACCACAAAGTGCCACAGCTGGACCTGATAGGGAAGACTGAACATAATTCAGAGATCATGACTTTTGAGCCTTTGAGCTGGATGGAACCTTGGATTGTTTCCCATGGGAACAGAGTAACTGTATTCCACGTGTGGTAGGAATAGTGAACCCTATATTGGGACATCACGAGGGTAAACTGTGGCAGGAACTGCTATGTTCACCAAACCATTTTTCCTTTTGCTCTGGACCACAGAGCTAGATTACATTTCCCAGACTCCTTTGCAGTTAGATGGGAACATCTGACCAACAGGATATGGGTGGAAGCCATATAGCCACTTCCCAGGCCCAGCCACTACAGCTATCTCCAGCACACTCCTCCACGTTCCCTTCCCTTGGTTGCTGGCTCAGTGTATATCTTGGGGAGAAGAGAGGGGAGCTGGCGGTACTGGGTGATGGTACAGCTACACAATCTCTGAATACCTGTGTGGCAAAATCCCTCCCACACACACACATACACCAACACTGCCACCACTACCACTGTCACCATCACCACTGTCAGCCATTGGCTTGTAACATGAGAAAAATAAACTTTTATTTTGTCAAGGCATTGAGATTGGGGGTCGTTTGTTATAAGTTAGACTACACTGACAAATACATTTGCCTATGTATGTATGTTAGAAAACAACTAACCCCTGTAATATCAGTACTGTCGAATTACATTGCTGTGCTATTTCTAAATTCATATAATTCAACGCCCTTAGTTTACTGATGATAAAACTGAGGCTCAGAGAAGTTAAGTGACTTGCTCAAAGTCACACAGATAATTAGTGTTAGAACTTAAACTAAAATTTAGATATTACCCTCAGTCCAGGACTCTGGGTTGTACCGTATTACCTGATTTGATGCCACATTTCAAAATTTTTACCCTATTTAAATTTTTATTTGCATGCTTCAGATTAAATATACTTTCACTCATGTGTTCCATATCTAGGGAACAAGAAAACTGGCCAGGACATTATGTGTTTTCTGCTTTCTTTTGAAAGTTGTCATCCTCTTAATTTTCATTTAACTTTTCAAATTTCCCTTCTAATTCTACAATTTTTTAAAAAAATTATTGGTCCTCCTTGATTACAGCATGAGCTGTTATTTTAGAAGTGGACAGTGCTGCTGCTAGTTCTTTTTCCATACACTGAACACTGTTTCTCAAAATGGTAATGGGAGATTATCTGGCAATATTTTCTTCATAGCTCTCCACATTAGCTTTGAGATCTTGGCAACAAATTCTTCAGAAACTTATCGTGGGTGAGAGGCCTGGAAGCTCAAACTGAGCATAATCATTCTTAACAAGAGAGGCAGCAAGTCCCCATCAAGCATTTCTAATCACATTCCAGTGGTGGCTTAACTTTTCTCAATAGGGATATCCAAAAAATAAGATTGTTTCCTCTTCCAGAAGCTCATTGTCAAGTACCAGTATGGTCAGGCAGACTCCTTTTACCTAATAATTCACCTTCTAGGGAGATGTTTCCAAAATTTAGGTCAGTCTTCTCATTTCTCATAAGCTATTTCTCCCATCCTAAGCTTTGTTTTCTGTGATTCATTTCCCCCCTGTCTTCCTTCCTTCTTTCTTTTTGTAATACTTGAGCAAATGCTTAAAGGCTAGCTCTTTTTTAGGCATGATGCTGGCTTTAAGGATAATGATGAAGAAGACATGATTTCTGCCTTCCTGTTGACCTGGTTCCTTGGTGATAGCCATATATGTTTCTGAGAGACCCATAGCCTACGGCTTGTGCTCACCTAAGTAACAGATATTAAGACATTTAGATATTGGAGATACTTAAGGGCCATCCCACGGTCTCTTAGAATTTCCCTGTGTTTGTGCAGAGCAGATTCTCCTTTCATTATTGGTATTTTCTGTACAGGTGTCTAACTTATGATGGGTACCATTTGTATAGAAAAGAACTAGCTAGCCATACACTATTCCTATAAAGGGCATTCATTTTGGAGAAAATTCATAAACCTTTGCTCAAGGCATTGCTCTCAAGCCAGAATTCCATAATTACTATGGAGGACAAACACTGAAAATCCAGCTAGGAAAACAGAGTATAGTCCGCTCATACACAGTACAGATAAACCTCACATTCGTCAAATGAGAAAGGGGAAGTCTAAAGTGACTTTTGGTCTATCAGAGAAGTTATTTGGTCTATAAGAGAAGTTATTAAAGAGTTATTATATAAAGGACCCCTGCAGTATTTCCTATTGTAAAGTAAAAAACCCTTTCGTAAAGTGCAAAATAACTAATTTTGTAAATTGCCCTCCTAGTTGTGTTTTCTTTTCTTTTTTTTTTAATTGGGTAACTCTGTGTGTGTGTGTGTGTGTGTGTGTGTGTGTGTGTGTGTTTTCCAGGACCCATCAGCTCCAAGTCAAGTTGTTGTCCTTCAATCTAGTTGTGAAGGGCACAGCTTAGCTCCTAGTCCAGTCGCCATTTTCAATCTAGTTGCAGGAGGTGGGGGGGATGCACAACCCACCATCCCATGCGGGAATCAAACCAGAACCTTGGTGTTCAGAGCATGTACTCTAACCAACTGAGCCACCTGGCTGCCCCTAGTTGTGTTTTTCAATATGAATTTTTGTGTGTGTCAAGTTTCTTTGAAGAAGGAATCACCTGTAGTGGTGTAGAAAATTTAAATGTATAAAAGAGGTCCCAAAGGGAGGCATGAAAACTCTGTCCTTGGTATTTAAATGGGCATTTGCTTTTATGAGCCTTAGCATCATTCCCCCACAGATCACAAGAATATGCAGCTGAAAAAAAAAACCAGTGATTGTGAGAGGAAAAGCACAATCCATGCTCAATCTCCTTTAGAGACAGAGACATTCCTAGGAGAATATAAATGAATGAGCTCCACAGGCAATAACAATGAATGTGTGAGAACTGAGCTGGTGGGGGTGGTGGGCAGCGGCAGGGAATATGGGAATTGGGAAAACCTTCAGCAGTTCACACTGTGCTATCTGCCTTCCTCATTTCTGTGTTTTCTGAGTCAGCATTAGCTAAATTTTCCAGAAAGCCATCCACAAAGTACAGCCTGGCCAATCAAGGGACGTCACTCATTTCCCTCAGTGACCTTGACAAGTTAGAAGCTTGAAAGCAGGGAAATCCGGATGTCTCAGTTATGAAGTGGAACAGTGGGGGCCCCAACACATTTCCAGAAGTCTCCATCCAGCCTGGTGATTGCATGCTTCTGTTACTGCCTGTGGCCATCTGAGGTGCCTCTCTGGCTCTGAAGAGGTTGGCACAATGGCCAAGTGCTTCAGCCTGGTGTTTCTTCTTGCCTCCATCTGGACCACAAGGCTCCCCCCTGTCCAAGGCTCTCTCCTGGTAGAAGGTAGGTTTCTTAGCAGGACACCAACCTGAGGCAAGGAAAGATCTAAAACCTGTCCTGAGTCTACTAGGTTCTTCACTGTGGATTGCTGGGAGTGGGGGGCAACCCTTAATGTCAACAGGTCTAATTGGTAGTATTGGTCTGCCAGAAATGTTTTCACCATATTGTCAACTTCACCAAAATGATTCACTTTTACCTTTATGTTATCTTGTTTTGGTTATAGATTATGTTTAATGAAAATATTTTGAAACAGAACATTGAGGAGAGATCGCTGTTTTTAAAAGTGTTTTACTGAAGAAGCAAATCATGACTGTGAACATTTTAAAGCAATTGCTAAGCCTGGGGGGAAATGGCTAACTTTCACAGAATATTGGCCTGTTTTATATTTTTGGAAATGCCAATATAATTATTTGAATTTCTATTTTACTATACTATTCATGGAATGCATATGTTTTTACTGTGCAGTAAATAGCAAATTAACTGAAAAGAATTTGTGAAAGTATAGGTTTGAAAATTAGCCATCAGCTCTCTACCAAAGAAATGATTTGAAATGATTTCTGGGCCTTTGAGATGCCTAAATGGTAACCTCACTCTGCATTGTAGGCAAAAATTGTAACCACAAATCGCTCATTACAGCTCTGGGAAAATGAAAATCTGAGCACTATAAAAGGAAAATTTTGTGTTCCTGTGCTTGAGAATATCTCAGGAAGACATTTTATAGACGAAGAAACAGGTTCAGTGAGGCCAAATGACTTGCTTAATGTTATACAGGCAGTAAATAATAAAGCTTAGGTTTGAATCCAGCTCTGTGTGATTCCTAAGCATATATTATTTCTATTATGCATATTGTTTCCTGAAAAATCTTAAGAAAGAGATTACTGGGGTAGCCCTGCTATACCAGCTCCCTATTTTTGTCCTTAAATGAAATAGGAAAGCTTAAAATTGACTAATATTTGTTGACTACCTACTACGGACCCAGCCTCTGCTAGGTACAAGTTATCTAATTTAATTCTGACAAAAATCCTGTGAAGAAGATAAAAACCATCCCCATTTTGCAGATGAGAATGCTAACTTGCCCAAGGTCCCATGCCCAATTAACAACAGAAGAAATATTCAAAGCTAGATCTATTACCTAGACTAAGTCTATCATTACTCATAATATTAATATTTAGAGTAAAAGTGAGGTATGATGCGAGAGTATCAAGACCACTTTATAGTGTAATTAATAAACCTGAAAGTATTCCCAAAGCAGCAGCCATAAGAGGTTGGAGCACTAGCAAGCTCATGGGCTCAATGAGGCACATTCTAGGACAAATGGTGTGTTCCAAGAGTTCAGCTCCGGTGTGTGTGTGTGTGTGTGTGTGTGTGTGTGTGTGTGTGTGTGTGTGTGTATGTGTGTGTGTTTGTATTCATCTTTCCCCCTGGCACAGTGGGAAGCAGAACAGTATCCTAGTTAAGCACTGGGGTTTTAGAGTCCATTGTAATTGTTTGTGCCCCCAATCTGCCATCTTGTTGCTCTATATCCTTGGGCTTGGGGAAGTTACTTATTCTCCCCGAGCCTCAAATTTCTATTAAAAGAGACAGGGTTTGGCACAGTGTAGCATCAACAGATTATAGAAGTTAGAATTAATATTCATATTAGCATTAATATCAGTGTTGGTGGAGGTATTCATATTAGTGCCCACATTCATAAGAGGCTGTTTTGTCGTATTGGAGTGTTGGTCTCTCCTTTGGTGAGAGCAGGGTCTGGAAGCAAACAAGGCCATCCACAAATACAGAGGGTGCCAAAAAAATGTATACATGTTTTAAGAAAGGAAAAAAACTATTAAAATTATAATATTCAAAATATACAGATAACAAAGGATGAATACAAGTCACATTTGACTTCTGCAATTACAACGGGTGCTCAAAGTGGTTACTAACAGCGTCCAGACACTTCTGATGATGGTGAACTACTGCTTGAGCAACGTTGACCAAAGTGTCCACTTGTATACAATTTTTTAGCACTCCTGATATTGTACATCATATACAAATCCCTTACCACAGTCCCCTGCTTCAGAGCACAGCAAGGTCACATAGAAAGTGGTCAAAGCATTTGAGCGCAAGCAATTACTTAGGAAATTGAAATGCCCTTTTATGGATTTTTTTGGATGAAGCACAATAGGATTAACCTACCTGAATGCAAAGCACTCACAATTTCATACAGGTCTGTAAATCTCAGAGCTCAGAGGGAAGGGTCAATAGAACCCTCAGATTCATTAGATTTTGAGTAAAATATTATTCACATCTTAACTGTTCAACTGCCTCAGCTTCCCCAGGGAGACTGACTATATTAGAAGACTAAAACCAAAATGCTTTATAGATAACATAATGATAATATTTATGATTTATTGAGCATATACTGCATAGCAGGTGCTACGCTAAGCATTTTTATTTGAATTAACTCATTTAACTCTCACTACCTTATACAATAGATATTGTTACTCTCTCATTTTACAAATAAGGGAACTGAGGCTCAAAGAGAAGAAGTAAGAAGCCTAAGCTTGCAGAGCTGGCAAGAGACATAGGCCAGATTCAAATCCAGGTCTGACTCTAAAACACTACTTCTTTTATTTAGTTTATCTGCCACGTAAGGTTTACTGCTCAGCTCCTCCAGGAACTTCTGAGTAAGCCTGCCCCCCACTGGTCAGAGAAGACCTGGGACTGAGAAAGCTCTTATGTTATACCAAGAGCAACATTATTTAGCCCATCTCAGAAATAGTGGTGTCCCCAATCCACATTGATTTAGATTCTGTTAACCAGAGCCCTGAATTATCTTTCTCAAAGTCTCAGACCCTTCATTTTATAAACTCCAAAAAGTTTGTAGCATCACTTAGACCCCACCCCCAGGAAGCTGAAGCCTCCATGGAATGAACAAGGAGCCTTAATGCAGTGGACTCGGATCTGATGAGAGGTACAGATTGGGTCAGACCAAGCACCCACCTAACCCAGCAGGATGTGCTTGTGGGAAATGTCTGGCCTGTGTCCTGTTATTTCTAAACTTCAATCCCAGCCACAATGAACTCACTGCTGCATCAGCACCATAAAGTTCTGCTAGGAAGAGGAGCCTAAGGGCTAAGAACAAGCACAGCAACAAACTGAGGATCTATGTGGTTCCTTTGCAGAGCTTTCCATCTCAGATCCATGCAGAATTGTGGGGGTCACCCTTTTGAACAAAAAGACACGTGAGCAGTTGAATTTCACAGAAGCCAAGGAGGCCTGTAGGCTGATGGGACTAACCTTGGCCAGCAAAGACCAAGTTGAGGCAGCATGGAAGTCTGACTTTCAGACTTGCAGGTGAGAAACAGCTGGATTCACAAACATGGCTGGAGCTCTTGGGCTCTGTACTCTTATTCAGTCACAGAGATAAATGTATCCATTCAACTAATGCGTATTCTGTTACAGCTATGGATGGGTTGCAGATAAGTTCTTAGTCATCCCTCGGATTACCGCAAACCCCAAGTGTGGAAAGAATGGGGTGGGCGTCCTGATTTGGAGACATTCACCCAGCCAAAAGTACAAGGCCTACTGTTACAATTCATCGGGTAAGTCAGATCTGCATCTCTCCATGTGGTATGTTTTCTTGGGGTTTCTCTAGCTCTATGATGTGTCTGAGAAGAATGACTCTGCGCAGCAGCAGAAGCGATCATAATGATAGCCATTTAATCATCCCAAGGCTGACTCTGTGACTAGGCTAGAGGTGGCAGTGTGCCCCTCAGAGGAAAAGTTTGGGATAATATGATTGAATGGCAACATGAGAAGAGGGCATCCCAAGGCCTCCATTATCTCCCCACTCCATCCTATAAGATAAACAGGAAGAAGGGAAGGAAACATCCACTATGGACAAACCAATGTACTAAATTATCTCACTGAAACTTGACAATCTGCCCAAGAGGTAGGCTTTATCATCCCCATTTTGCAGGAAAAAAACTTAGCTCAGAGGATTTGTAAGTACAGGTGTCTAAGATCTCATTACGATAAAGATTCAAACCTAGGTAGGTCTTAGTCTAAAACCAATCTCTCTCCACTATCCTACATTCTTTTACAGGAGAGGAAATTCAGATGCTATATTTGACATTTTTTAGAACAAGACGCTATCACCATTTCATGAAGGATGGGGTTGAAGCTAGAAAATAGAACAGATTTGCTCATGGTCACACAGTCATCCTTTTAACATTGCTTGGAGACCTTGGCCACCTTAGCCCAAGTACTCTCATAAAGCTTTATGTACCTTCTCAGAAAGGTTTTTCTTTTACTAAATATTTGTTCTCTATTTGTCATAAGAACCTCTGTCTGATTTACTACTCTTCACACATACTCAAAAATCTGACCTTCTGAAGGTCAGACAGATAAGTGGCCATACTCAAGGATAGATTCCAAAATCGTCTCTAAGATCCAAGAGATAAATGTGCATCATGTATCAGCAACCTTGTTTCACAAAGGCAGCATAGGGTCCAAGCAGTTCAGTGAACCAGGGGGCTTTTGCATAGCAAAGGCTCTGAAAGACGCTTTGTCCCCATCCCTCACTTCATGGATGAAATTACTATTGCGCAGAATGGAGGTTTGGTTTGTTCCAAGTCCTACAGTCAGTAGGTGCAGAGTCAAGGCTGGAACAGAAACTTCTCCCAACATTTTTTTTCACCATCATCCTCTCCTCTGCCTCTTCAGCCTATCATCTTTGGCTGGGGAATTGGTGATTCACATGCCTGCTTATTTTTTAGTCAGCCCATGCCTATCAATGGCCTGGCCTTTTCACTGCATGGCCTTCTTGCCAGCTGTCAATGTGATGATAGGATAACCAGCCTCTAGACTCAACACAAAGGAGCCCTGGAAAGAGGACTTGGACTTGGACTTCTATTCTCTATGTTTCTTATATACTTAAAGTTAGGTCTAGAGGCTTAATTAAATTCATGTTTGATATTTTTGGCAAAAATACTCCATAGATGATATCATGTACTTTGGATCTCATCGCAGCAAAAGGTTCTTAATGTCAGTATGTCCCACTATCAATATGCTAATTTGGATCATTTGAGTAAGGTGGCAACTGCTAGACCTGTCTAATGAACTCATAAAAATATGTTTTCCCTTTTGCAATGAGTAGGTAATCTATACTGTGATATTTTGGCACTATGCAAACATTCTGACCCCCAACTATCTTTTACCTAATAATTTAAGCAGACATTGATGATCCTTGCTGGAATCAGTTATTAAATGGGGTGGCTACAAAAATGGTTATTTTCTAAATCTATTCTTCCTTCATTAGCTGGCATCTTTGATAAAGAAGAATCTCTCTCTCTCTCTACACACACACACACACACACACACACACACACACACACACACACAATCTCCTCCCTTCCTCTTATACTATCATGGATACACGGCATCTTCCTTATTCTATATATTCAATATGTTATAATCAATTTTACAATTTTTATTCTTTTTGATGCTCAAATTGTCCCAAATTTGGCAAGTGAGAGCCCCCTCTACTTGACTTTTGTCCTTAATTCCATTAGTATTTGAGCAATTCCTTACTTACTGGTATAACATGTCTGAGGCTCACTCTGTACTCTTTCTGTCCCAGATGTGTTATGAGCCATTTATTTCTTCAAGGAACCTTTGTTTATTTTAATGGAGAATGTTAATTAGAAACCAAGATCTTGATGCAAGTTGTTCTCATTACTATTGGAGGTTTCATTGCTTCTCAGTCCTTTTTAGTAGACAGCTAGATATATATTAAAATATATATTAAAAAATATATTAAATATTTAATATAATTTAACATATATAATTAAATTATATTAAATATGTATTTTAATATAAATATAAATATATACTTAATATGTATTTATATATAGTGTAAAATATATATAAATACACATATTTCCTAGCTATCCACTAAAAAGGATACCTATATCTATATCTATACACCTATACCTATACCTATACCTATACTTACATCTATTGGGTTGTCGGAAAAGTCATGACGCAGTTTTGCAATGAAAAATATAGAAAAACTATGTCATGACTTTTCTGACAACCCAATATATCTATATACGTATATCTATATCCTATTTGTTTGCAACCTTAGGTGCTTCTGAGGTATAATCTGAAACTGGCCCCTGTATGCCAGAGGGCAGGGAGAAACTAAGAAAAGAGGCAGACCCCTCCAGATTGGTAGATGGTAGGTTTAATAAACAAGGGAACTTACTATGAGGCTTACCTTGGGCAGCTTCAAGATGAGTATATTTCCGCACTGCCTGCCAGCATCTTAAAAGTTTAAATAGAGGCCCTAACTGGGTTCACTCATGTACACAGGAGGCCTTAACTGGGCTCAGTCACCTACGCCATCCAGATGGCCTCAACAACACCTGGCTCTCTCAAGGCTATGTCCTTGGGCAGCTTCTAGCTCAGGGAAGGCAAGCAGAATGCACTTTCCAAGGGCAGTGAGGGGTGAGGAGCCTCCAATTGCTCATGTCCAGCTCTCAGGTCAACTGGCGGTCACATCCTCTCGATGATTTCCCCCAACACAAACATATATACTGGGGTGCCAAAGAAAATGTATACGCATGACTTGTATTCATCTTTTGTTATCAGTATATATTGAGTATTACAATTTTAATAGTTTTTTCCTTTCTTAAAATGTATTACATTTTCCTGGCAACCTCTGTATATATGGGGGTGCCAAAAATAATGTATTCAACTGGACACTTTGGTCGGCGTTGCTCAACCAGTACTTCACTGTAATCAGAAGTGTCTGGACGCTGATGATAATCACTTTGAGCACCTCTTGTAATTGCAGAAGTCAAACGTGACTTGTATTCATCTTTTGTTATCGGTATATATTGAGTATTACAATTTTAATACAGTTTTCCTTTCTTAAAATGTATATACATTTTTGGCACCCTCTGTGTATACATATGCATACATTCATATATTTTGTAAAGTTATAGAAATTACTGATATTTCTAACTCAAATTTAACAATTCAAGCTTTTCCTTAGTTACTTTGCTTTATTTGTATTGCTTTTCTCTCTTATATGGAACATCTTAGTTCCCAATAAATAACATCAATATATTTTCTTATTCTATAATAGTTTCAAATTTACAAAACCAACATTATTAGGAATCATAAACCTATTGAGTAGAATTTAAGATTTCTTTGCATTTCTTTTCATCCTTAGAAGATATTCCTCTAAAGATGTACTGTCAGAGAATTGTATTCAAAAGTGACCTGTGTGGTTATATTATCAATTTGAAATAAATTAGGTTCACCTGCTTCTGTTTGCCACCTTTGTGAGGATCAGAGTTACCCTAACACTCATCCTAATGCTAATCCTAAACTTACTTCATGTTTCTTTTGTTTTTGCAACTTCCTTTTTTATTACTCTCTTGTGAGGTCTTTGAATTAGAGTAACTTTAACCCTGACCCTCAACCGTATCCTATTTGTCTTTCTGATTGCTATCTTTGTGAGTGTTGGGGATCAGACCAAAGTTCTTTGAAAGTTCCGCTTGCACCATCTGTTCCATGCTGTTCCCTCTGCCACAGTGCCCATCCTCTTCATCACCTGGCTAGCTCCTACTTCTAATCTCAAGTGCTATCTTCTCCAGGAAGCCCTCCTACTCCTACCTTTCCCCTTGGACTACAACCCCACTCTGTGTTTACTATCTATCAGAGTACCAGCCATTCCAGAGAAATTATATTTATAGATTGAAGGGGAAGGAGAACACTTCCAAGTGAGATATATTGTGCCCTTAACCAGTTCAGGATCACAGGACCAGACTGCTGTTGCTCCCTCACATGATGTCCTTCTCGGCTACATTTAATGTACAGAGAGGCAAAGGAAACTTTCTTATAAATCTTACCTATTCTGCCCATGCACTGTGCTAACATCCTACATGTTTATTATCTCATTTAAATCTTCAGTAAAAGGACACAAGGGTATCACTTCTACTTTCCAGGAGAAGTAACTGATGGTTAGAGTGTACCATGCTGTAGTCAACAGTCAATGAGAGAAAGAGCCAGGATTTAAATCTTAAATCATGTTAATTCCATGTAGCACTTTCCATGGTGATGACATCAATAACACAGACCTGGGTGGGTCCTGGGCATCAATATATTTTTAAAGCTCCCCAGAAGGGTCTAACCCACAGCCAGGGTTTAGAATCACTTTTGAGAAGATCTCTAAGTCTAAATTCTAGGATTCCAGATACTTCTGGATTCGCCCATTTCTGTGCAATTGTAATCATCTCCTTCTTTACTGCTAGATTGTACTCTCTCCCTTCCATATTTCATCCTCCACACACTTCCACTAATAATGACGTTACTCCTCTGCTCCAGAGCCCTGGATAACTTCCTGTTTGAGAATATGATGTAAATAAACTAGGAAGACTTTTGCACATAACAGTGGGCATACATGAGGACTTTTGCATATCAGTAGGGAGGTTTGTGGACCCCAGTCAAAAATTCCTTCTCTTACAGAATTGCAAATTCTTTAACATGGCAATTATGGGTCTCAATACTCTGGCTCGAAACTATCTTCCTAGTCTCATCTCCTGCTTGTAGTCTTTCATGCTCCCAATCATACACACTCCCTACTTTCCAGCCACACTGTGCCCTTTCTTATTTTTCTAACATAACTACACTTTCAACCTTCTGGATTCTTCACTCATGCTATTCCTATTGACTGAGCTATTCCATCCCTTCTTCCATACTAAATGTGCTGCTCCTCTGTTCCCGCCATGTGGGCTTTTTTTGTAAATTATTTTTCTCCATCCAACTTTCTGAGTCCATTACACTTTGGTCTCTTGAACTTCCTGTTCTCTTTACTTACAATGCTTTTGCCCTAGATCTTCAATGACTGGCTACATTTCATCATTCAGGTCTCAGCTTCAGTATCACCTCCCCAACAAGACTCTCTTATCACCCTATCTAGGGTATCTGTCCCTAACTCCCCACCCCTTCCAGTTTAATCCTTATCCTATTCATTTTTCTTCTCAACATTTACCATCCTCTGACATTTCTGGCTTATTTATTTATTTGTTATCTCTATCCTTCCAACAGCATACAAGCCCCTTATGAGCAGGGACTCTGTCTTGTTTGCACCACATCCCTAGCACCTAGAACAGTGCCTGCAGAGATGGAGCTCAATAAATACTTGTTGAATGAACACATTAGTCCTCCATACCCTGCTCAAATGCCATATCTTCTGTGAATCCCCAGTGATCTTCCCCTATCCTTATCAGACTACTTCTGTCCTCCCAGAAACAGGAACCGTGCCATAGTTGTCTTTATATTTTCAGTCCCTGAACATAATATATTATGCTCAGTATTTTTCTACCCCTGATATTTAAAAAAATGTTTATTTTCTGAGGGGAGAACTCAGTATGTGCTCAAAAATGGTAAATGTGGCAAAAAGTTCAGGGCAGATAAAGTCAAGGATGATGTCTAGTTGAATAGAGGTCTTTTCAAAGTAAAATGAATAGTATAAAATTCTGACTGAATGCATGTGTAGTCAAATGTTTTATCAGTAGTATAGTATCCATGACCTTGATTGATAATTTAATTTACAAAAATGAATGAAAGAAATTTTCTTCATAGCTAAAATTCCAGCAGATGCTACCCACTGCCACAAATAACTACGGATTTTAAACAGATGCAAATCCATATTATAATATATTCACAGTGCTGCCGTTTACTAGCGCTGTGACTTTGGATGAGTCATTCAATTTCTCTGAACTTCAGTTTCCTTATTTATAAATGAGGATTTGATAAAATTGTTAAATGAAATGCTATGGTAGACTCAAAGCAAGATGCTCAACAAATGTTAGTTTCCTCTCTACCACATTCAACAGATTGAAAAGCAAGCCTATATCTCTCCCTTAACGTGCCCTCCCCCGCTTTTTGATGAGCACAGAGAAATCTGGTTTTAGTAGACCTTTGTCCTGAAGTGGTGTCATGTGTATATGAGGGTATATTTGGTCTCCGCATCTACTCCTTCCTTTCACTTTCCCTTCCTCCCTTTATTCATCCAATATTGAGCATGTACTATGTGCCAGGTGCAGTGCACACATCATGATGACCAGGACAGACCAATGGGGAGGAGTGGAATGAGAATGGTGACAAGGGAAATAAATAGAGGTATAAGAATATATGCCTAGGGATCCAATCTAGTCATCAAGTCAGACTAAGAGATGTTTAATCTGAGATCTGCAGGATAAGTAAGAGATAGCTAATTAAAGAGGGAGCAAAGAGTCTTACGGGTGAGAAAAGCATGATGGTCAAAAGCTTATGAGAGATGTGAGAGGAAGCATATCAAAGAACTGTAGGAATTTCAGTATGGCAGGTGGAATGAGAAAAAGACTGATTGGATGAGGCTGCCATGTCAGCAGGGATCAGATCATGGACGGTCTTATAGGCCATGCAATAGAGGAAGTCACTGAAGTATTCTAAGGAAGGACGTGATCTGATTAGAGTTATATTTTTGTAAGACCATTCCAACTGCAGGATGAGGGGATTGGAAGGGAGTAAGACTAGAGGCAGGAAGACCAGTTAGGAGGCTGTCACAGTACTTACTTATTATTTCATTTTTCCCTCTCCAACAGATACTTGGACTAACTCATGCTTTCCAGAAATTATCATCTCCGAAGATCCCATGGTCAGCATTCAAACTGAAACCTACACAACAGAAATGACTGTCAGCGACAGTACATACTCAGCATCATCTGCTAATGTACCTCACTCTCTTACACATGCTCCTGCTCTGGCTTCGACTTCTAAGCCACGGAAAAAAAAATTAATTTGCATAACAGAAGCTATTATGGAAACTACCACCACATCTATAGAAACTGAATCATATATTAACTATAAAGCAGCATTCAAGAATGAAAATGTTGGGTTTGGAGGTAAAGCTTTCTGTATCTGCATTTTGTGTGTGTGTGTGTGTGTGTGTGTGTGTGTGTGTGTGTGTGTGTAACAGACAATACATAGAAGCCATAGAACTTGAGGTCTCTAAAAATCCTTAATGATTAAACTAAAAATCATGAGTACAAAATAGCTTCACTTTTAAAACTCAAAGACTTTTAAAAATAAATTACTATCTATTAATATATAGAAGTTCTTTTTAAAATCAATACCTTAAATGCCTATGATTAGAAAGTTTGTTTTCTTAGTTAAAAGTAAATGTCTTACATTTAAATAGCTCCAAACTTATAATCTCAAAGCCATGGAGAGAAAGTAGACTGTCATATTGCAACTTACAGAATGGAGAGACTCTGAGAGAGAAGGTCAAGGATTCTATAGGCAAGAAGCAAAGAAGCAGATGTGGGCACAACATCCTAAGTGGCCCCAGGGAAGTCACAGAGAAGGCTTTCCTTCTTCAGTGTCTGTTGTCTTGATCATGTGTAAAGAAGAATCGTTAGAAGAACAGTGCCCAACAATGTACAAACAGACCATGTCTCTGTTTCTTCCAGGTGTTCCCACGACTCTGCTAGTGCTTGCACTCCTCTTCTTTGCTGCTGCAGCTGGTCTCGCAGTTTGCTACGTCAAAAGGTGGGGTTGTTGGCATTCATTAGTCTTGTAATCTTTGTTATATCCTTATCTTGTGTTTTTTTCCAGGATCATTATTAGCATTTTTCTGGTCAACATGGAGACAGAAATTCTCTTATACTGTAAATTTTCTCCTTCATCTCACCTCTCCTTCCTACCACCTAACCCAGTCTTTCCTACTATTTCAGCACAAGCATGTCATCTAGACTTTAGATGTAGGTTAATGGCTGTCCCTTTAAAAATCAAGAAATAAAGGTTCCAGTCAAGACAGCAGAGTAGGTAAATGCGATGATTGCCACCTCTCATGACCACATCAAAATTACAACTAAACTGTAAGACAAACATCACTGAGAATTGCCTGAGGTCTAGATAACGAAAGCCCTACAACTAAGGGCATACAGAAGAAGCCACCTCGAGACTAGTAGGAGGGGCAGAGATGCAGAATAGGCTGGTCACATCTGACCATTAAAAATTGGGAGGGATATCTCAGCTGCAGAATTCCTCCCCACACCCCAACACCCACTGGAAGAGCGAGGGGTCCTAGCCCCACACCAAGCTCCCCAGCCCAGGGTTCCAGTGCTGGGAAGAGATTGTGACTGAGGGAGATGAGGGTGGCTGCAGTCCCAGGTGCTCCTCTTAAAGGGCCCATGCACAAACTTTCTCAATGATGGACTCACTCACTCTGAGCTCCATCCAGCACTGGGGCAGCAACTCAAAAGCACGAAGGACATATGGGAAGGAACTGAATAGTCTGGCTTCAGGTCGAGGATTGGAGGGGCAGCTTTCTCACAGATGGAACAACTGGTAGAAGCCATTGTTTCTTTGTTGAGTCCTGCCCTCTCCTGGTGTACAGACTCAGGTGGCTGCCATATCTGAGTCTCCATGAACCTGGCTAACACAGTTTGTTTGCCTTGCCCAGGTGATTCCCTAAGAAACTGCCCCACCCAACCTGCTGACCCACCCAAACTGCCGATCCACCCAAGCCACTTCCAGTGTCTTTTCTGTACAAACAGCTTATGCAGTGGGTTTTTCTAAAATCTCTCAAAGGTTCACAAAACCCAAACAAGCAGCATCTGGCTTCAGCATGTCCCCATACCTGTCTGAGCAGCACTAAGCCTGGCATTAGTGACAGCCAGCCTTGGTTCACGGCTTAGCCTCTCAAGGCACCTCCAAGGCCAGCATGAGTAGAAGCCATCTGCGGATTGCTTTGTGGTTCATGGCAGGTAACCCCAGACAGGGCACATTGCCCTGCCTGTGGCTGAACTTGGTTTGTGTCAGGTCCCCTCCCAGGAGTCCCTGGAGCTGGTACACCCAGTGGCCATCTTCGGACTGAGCCTGAGCATCACCTGGCTGCCTCCAAGGACAATACACCCAAAGGGAAGACTGGGCAGGCACCAGAGCCCAGCAAAAGCAAATCTTGCCCTGTGGGGTCAGTGCCCGCATAACAATTCCTCCACTGTAGTCATGGCCAGTCCTCACAATCAATCAGCCCAAGAGTCAATCTGTCCCACTGACATGCAAATAGCAACTGAGGCTCGACTACAACAGGAGGGCACACACAATCCACATAAGGCACACACCTGGAAGTGATCAGGAAGACTGTGCCACTTGACCCCACAGGACATCTACTATATAAGGCCACTCTACTAAGACCAGGAGGCATGGCAGCCCTACATACTACATAGAAACAAACACAGGGAGGCAGCCAAAATGGGGAGACAAAGAAACATGTCCCAAATAAAATAATAAAACAAGGCTCCAGAAAAAGATCTAAACAAAAGGGAGACAAGCAATCTACCAGATGCAGCAAAACACTAGTTAGAGGGCTGCTAAATGATCTCAGGGAGAACTTCAACAAAGAGACAGGAAACATAAAAACAGAAATAGAAAACATAAAAAAGAACCAGTCAGAAATAAAGACTATAATAACTGAAATGAAAACTATATTAGAGGGAATCAACAATAGATTGGATGAAGCAGAGAATCAAATCAATGATTTAGAAGATAAGGTTGCAGAAAATACCCAAACAGAATAGCAAAACGAAAAAAAGAATCCAAAAAAAAAATGAGGATAGTTTAAGGGCCCTCTGGGACAACATCAAGCATACCAACATTTGCATCATAGGGATACCAGGAAGAGAAGACAGACAGCAAGAAATTGAAAGCCTATTTGAAGAAATAATGACAGGAAACTTCCCTAATCTGGAGAAGGAAATAGACATACAAGCCTAGGAAGTGCAGAGCATCCCAAACAAGATGAAACCAAAGAGGTCAACACCAAGACAAATCATAATTAAAATGCCAAAGGTTAAAGACAAAGAAAAAATCTTAAGAGAGAGAGAGAGAGAGCCAAGATGGCACAGTAGATAAACACTGTGTCTGCTTCCTTCCCTGAACAGATTAAAATTACAGCTAAATTATAGAACAATCAACTGGGAGAACCATCTGAAGTCTAGCTGAACAGAAGTTTTATAACTAAGGATATAAAGAAGCCACATTGAGATGGGTAAGAGGAGCAGAGATGTGAAACAGACTGGCCCCAAAACTCCATGTGGCAGTTGAGAATCGACAGGGATATCTCCACTGTAGAGGTTCCCCCTGGAGGAACAAGGGACCTCAGCCCCACACAAAGCTAACCAGCCTGGAGTACTTGTATTGGGAAGAGGAGCCCCCACAACATCTGGCTGTGAAAAACAGTGGGGATTCCAATCAACCAAGTGGGGCAGAAGGGGCAGGAAACCCAGATGTCCTCTTAAAGGGCCCACATACAGACTCTCTCACCCCCAAACACCCAACTTGGGCTCCAGCAGAGAGACAGTAACTCAGGGGGTGTCAAAGACATATGGGGGGGGGGCCACAGACTGAGTTGCATGGCATCTGGAAACTGGCTGGAGAACAGTCAGCATTTTTCTTGTAAGGGATCCTTCTCCCATGCAGCCAGCAGGCTTGCGTCATCTTCCCTGTGTTGAGCCCTTCCCCTATGCCCATGGCCAAATATGAATCTGATTGGTCTGGTGGGCTCTGCTCGTTCCAGCCTGCTGACTCTGCTGGGACCCACCCCACCCAACTCCCCGAACGGTGGAGGCACTTTCTCCAAGAGCAGCCAGCCCTGCCCGAATTGCACTCTTTCTTGGAATAACTATCAGAATCAAAAGACCCCAGTAATCCAACTTCTGGATATTTATCTGCAGAAACCCAAAATGTTACTTCAAGGGGAAGTTTGCATCCATATATTCATTGCAGCATTATACACAATGGCCAAGAAGTGGCGGCAGCCTAGGTGTCTGTCGAAGGAAGAATGGATAAAGAGGAGGTGGTATATATACAGAGGGTGCCAAAAAGAAGTACACACATTTTAAGAAAGGAAAACTGCATTAAAATTGTAATATTCAATATATACCAATAACAAAAGATGAATACAAGTCATGTTTGACTTCTACAATTACAAGAGGTGCTCAGAATGGTTACCATCAGCATCCAGACACTTCTGATTATGGAAAACTACTGCTTGAGCAACACTGACCAAAGTGTCCACTTTTATACATTTTTTTTGTACCCCCAGTATACAATGGAATATCACTCAGTCATGGATGGGAATGGGTTCTTGGCATCGGTGGCAGCATGGATGGACCTGGAGGGTATTGTGTTGAGTGGAGTATGTCAGACAGAGAAAGACAGATGCAATGTGATTTCACTTGTATGTGGAATCTAAATAACAAAATAAACAAACAAACAAAACAGAAACAAACTGATAGATACAGAGAACATTTTAATGGTTGTCAGATGGGAAGGTGGTTGGGGGCATGGGTGAAAAAGGGGAAGGGATTAAGAAGTACAAATTGGTTGTTACAAAATAGTCATGGGGATGTAGCGTACAACTTAAGGGATCTAGTCAATAATATTATAATAACTATGTATGGTATAAGATGGGACTAGATTTATTGGGGTGATAGATGGGAGGGGGTTGGGGTTGGGGGCAGTTTGAAAATGGTGAAGGCAGTAAGAAGTACAAATTGGCAGTTACAAAATAGTCATGGGGATATAAAGTAAAGCATAGGGAATAGTCAATGATATGGTAATAATTATGTATAGTGCCAGGTGAGTATTAGATTAGTCAGGGGGATCATTTCTTAAATTATATAAATGTCTAACAACTATGCTGTACACCTAAAATTAATATAAAATAATATTGAATGTCAATTGTAATTGAAAATTTTTTAAATGAAGGAAAAAAGGTGAAGGGAAATAAGAGTTTCGAATTTCCAGGTATAAAATAGATAAGACATGAGGATGTAATATAGCATAGAAAATACAGTCAATAATATTTTGATGGCATACTACAGTATCAGATGGTTGCTGGACTTATCATGGTGATCACTTCTTTAGGTATAAAAATGTTGAATAGCTATGATGTACACCTGAAACTAATATATTATTGTATGTTAGCTATATTTTAATAAAAATCTTTAAAAAAGTAAAAAGTTAATAAAACTATAAATTGTTTTGGAAAAAAGAAAAAATTGACATGTAGGGAAAAATGTATGTTTATTTGATTTCCAATTCTTTGCTTTTGGTGGGAAGGTTGTGAGGTCAGCCTAAAGTTTGGCCTGTGAGCTTACTAACCTATTTAATGAATCCATTAGGGTGCAGATGTGTTCATGTGTTTGAGTGTGCATGTGTTAACATTTCTCTGAAATAAAGGTTTCCAGGGTGCTGTGCCAATGTGGCCATCAGGGACCAAGCATTATCTATTTTTATATGTGTTACATGGGAGTCTCTCACTTTAATTTCATGTTTATGCCTACAGGTATGTGAAGGCCTTCCCTTTTACAAACAAGAATCAGCAGAAGGAAATGATTGAAACCAAAGTAGTGAAGGAGGAGAAGGCCGATGATAACCTTTATGAGGAATCAAAGATAACTGATAAAAAGCTAGAAGAGCCCAAGAGTCCACCCAAAACTACAGTGCGATGCCTGGAAGCTGAAGTTTAGATGAGAAATGACAGAACACACCCAAGGCTGATTTTCTTTCTTGATACATATCCTGTTCCCAGATGGGGAAACTGAAAGGGCCAAAGAACCAAACAAAGAAAGTCCAGCCTTGCTTCCTAAATGGAATCAGCTCAGGGCTGCCTTTGGACTATGTAGGTAACAAAAGGGAATTCCCTTCTTCTTAGTGCAATCCTTTCTGGATCCTATCCTCCTACCTCCAAAGCTTCCCACAGCCTTTCTAGCCTGGTTATGTCCTAATAATATCCCAGTGGGAGAAAAGAGCTTTGCAAAGCACGAGGATCTAAAACAGCTAATCAGAATACATTTGTAAAGAGGCCTCAGGGCTGACTGAGAATAGATAGGTGAGTCAGAGCCAAGAAACTAGAGACCAAGGCTTTCTCTATTGACTCCACAGCCCAGATCCCTCTTCAAGCTCCGAAAAGGAAACATTTACACCACTTGGCATGTCCTTCTGAGCCAGGCAAGAGCAAAAGAAGGAAGGAAAAGTTTAGCAACTGAAGGCCATAGAGATTCCCGTGACTTGAGACCTGATCTCTGTAAAGCCAAAACAAATAGAGAAAAAGAATGAGGCTGAGGATATTGACAGCATATTGTCAGCAGGGACTATAAATACAGACAGGGTCAAATTATTCAGAGATGAATAATTTGAGTTGGAATCACTTTTTTAGAACACATCCACTTTCTTTTCTTTCTCTCCTGCTGCTGCTATTTTCTCTAGAAGAATATACTTTTACAAGAAACAAAACAAAACCCTGTTACGAATTTCTACTTTCACCTGAGTTATAGAAATTATTACTGCGGAAAATTACTGTGTTAAAAATCAATATAATTTAACAAACATATTTGCTGAATACCTACTATATGTCAGGCGCTGTGCAAGGTATTACATTCTGTAATTGAATATTATTCATCAAAAGTTTGCATATAATGTTGTCTGAAGCTAATATTTATCAATTTTGATATTCCCAGCTTATCCACTTCCCAAACTATTTTTTTGCTGAGACTAATCTATTAATTATTTTTTCTAATAAAGCAACCATTATAACTTTAATTTATTATTAACATACCTAAAAACATACATTATTACTTTTACACACCAAAGCACATTTTTAATGTCATTAACAAATGTATCACTATCTATCCTTTTTCCAGCAAGAAGAGCCTGAAAGGTGCAGAAATATTTGTAAATATTTGTGCCCCCAAAATAAAAGCATTTAGAAAACCTCTTTGTTCTCTTATTTACATAGATGTATTACACCTTTCATGAAAAATTAAAGTAATCCATTATTTGCAAAACTAAGACACACCTTTGGTTGTTGAAATACAAGTGAAAACCCAATTGTATATACATTACGTGGGGCTGTTCTTGCTTCATAGGTCTCAGTTTAAGTTGGTCAAGTACACACACATTAAACAGTCCTTTCCCTGGGATTCAGGTCCTACATTCCAATCCACTTCAAAGTTCTTGGGTAGCAGGAGATTCAGGATAGCTCATTTGTCCCGTTTCTCCTAATTTGCTGGCATAGTCTTTTTTGGTTGGCCCACAGAGATTATCTTAAAATTTGGTTTAATTGCCCAGAATTAAAAATCAAGACATTTCACATATTTATATTTTGGGATTCCCTTGAAAAACAGGAAGATCTGGAGATAGAAAATCCATATTGCCTCATAGAAATAATTACCTGATATTGAGGCGGGAAGGAGGAAGAGAGGGAGGGTGGGAGGGAGGAAAAGCTAACATTTACTGAGCACCTGCTTGCTAAGTGACAAGTCATTTTCACATGTTGTTCCATTTAATTACCACATCTTCCCTAAGAAGAAGTATTACAATTATTTTTATTAATAGAAAATTGAATTTTTAAAGGAGTTAAATCACTTTTCTGAGGTGACAGGTCTAATTAAATGCAGAAAGATTGCAGAGCCCGTACGGCTTTTCCTACACCACCATGCTTCTCTTGCCAATGACAATATAGGGATATAAACTATTCCAATGTGTGAGCTTGAAATTGGTTACTTGCCAAAAACTACAGTGGAGAAATAAGAAAAAAAACTCTTGTCCCAACTTCAGGGAATCTTTCTTAAATCCATTTGCAATAACAAGGAAAAAAGAGAAATATCCAAGAACTCTGAGAACCACCCCCTCACTGATGCAGACACCAACCTCAACAATGATTTACCTGGTCCATTTCATATGGTCAGAAAATGTAAGCCTCAGAAGAATCAGAGACAATTTCCTCTAAACTCTTTCTTTTCACAGAGTAAAAAATGAAGATCAATGTCACAGATTGTTTCAAGAAAAGACTTATCTAGAAGTCTCCTTCCTAGTCAAATTTTCTTTATTCTCCATTGAACAAAGAAAAGTTGGAAGAATATAAGGGACCACTCCAGGTCAGACCTACAATCCAGTCTACCAAAGCCAGTATTCAAATGACACAAGTAAACACAGCCATATGATTACATTCCCAAGTGATGCAAAGGATCTCCCTGCCCAGAAATGCCTCTTCTTCATGCCTGCCTCCCTGACTCAAGCATTTCTTTGGGCAAAGGTACTCTGTCCTGAGAAGGAGTCCCCTGTAAAATTGCATACTTCTTATAAAGACCAGAGCAACTCTCAAATATTAACATGCCAATGTGGTTCCACTAAAAGGCAAGCTGATTTCTAAGGGTAGAAAGCTGGATTAAAGCAGATGACTTGAGGCCCAGCACATGCTTGCATATAGTGGGAGTTTATAAATGTCCATTGGTCTGAACAAAATTGAATCATACTGATTCTCAGACCAAAGAATCCTACACTTTATTGCCCTTCTCTAGACCTTTAGCTCGTGCCCAAAGCAAAACCAATTGTTCTAGAAAAGAACAGGTTTCTGAGGACAATAAAAATAATTTGCAATAAATTCTTACTAAGGAATATGTCACTCACACCGAAAAAGACTTAAGTCTCCAAACAAGAAGAAAAGCAACTATTTGTCAGTTCAATCTTCCAGTTAAACGTAAATAAAATGCAGTTGTTTACCCCATAACAGTCTATATGTGAGGTCATTTTGACCTAAGAGCATTTCCATAATACTAAAATCAGCTGGGAGCACTCTTCTCTGTGTTTATTCCTCAGAAAACAACCAAAGTTCCAAATAGTGCTAATGTGATTTAAGATGTCCCCTTTTAGTATTTATAAGGCCATTTACTTTTTTAAAATAAACTCATTTACAAAAAGAAATGTGAAGATAATACAAAGAGTTCCCATATACCCCACACCCAGTTCCCCCATTAACATATTAGTATGGTACATTTGTTACAATTAATGAACCAATATTGATGCATTATTATTAACTGAAATCCATACCTTATTCTGATTTCCTTAGTTTTTATTTAATTTTTTTTCTGTTCCAGGATCCATCCAAGATACCACATTACATTTAGTCCTCTTGTCTCTTTAGGCTCCTTTTGGCTGTGACAGTTCTCAGACTTCTTTTGTTCTTGATAGGCTTGTCAGTTTTGAGGCATATTGGTGAAGTATTATGCAGAATGTCCCTCAATTGGGAATTCTCTGATGTTTTCTCATGATTACACTGAAGGAAGGGAGGAATACCATTGAGGTAAAGTGCCATTTTCATCATAGCATATCAAGGTACATACTATCAACATGATCTATCACTGTTGATGTTAACCTTGAGCACCTGGCTGAGGTAGTTTCTCCAATGCAAAGCTACTCTTTGTCTCTCTACCCACACTGTACTCTTTGGAAAGAAGTCATTATGCACAGCCCATACTTAAGCAGAGGGGAGTTATGCTCTGCCTCCTTGAAAGCAGAATATCTACATAAGTTATTTGGAATTCTTCTACATAGAAGATTATTGATCCATTCTCCTTCATTAATTTATTCAATCATTTATTTATATCAGTATGAAATCATGAATGTTTATTTTTTACTTTAGGTTATAATCCAATACTTTTTACTTATTTAGCTCAAATTGCTCCAACTTTTCCCATAGAAAATGCTTTCAGTTTTCTCCTGTATCCCTTTGAACTACTCCCATCATGGTATTTTTATTGGGCACTTACTTTCTGGCACTACAGGATGATTCAGGCTCATCTCATATATTTCCTGCCCCAGTCCTAGACTAGCCATTTCTTCAGGAATCCCTGGTCCCCGCCCCCCCCCCTTTTTTTTGAGAATGGTATTAGAAACCAACATGTGGGAACTAGGTGTGCTTATTGTTACTGGGGTGTCATTGCTTCTAGGCCCTCTTCCAGAATCCAGACAAGAGCAATCCCAAGATTTTTCCAATTTCACAGACCAATAATGCTTATTTAAATTTGTGGACCAAATAGGGTTTCTGTTTAAGTTTTTCAGATAAAGACATCTGAAAATTTTACTACTATCTAACATCACTATCATTTTACAAAAGATAACAAAGAGGATGGATATAAAATCAGAATAAAGAGAAGTCACTAAATGTCTAGTCTTATGAAAAATTACATCTTATTTTTCCCATTTTACTATGAACCAGTGCTGATTTACTGATAAGTACCAGCCAAAGGATTGGCCTTTGCTAACCAGAGAAAATAATTCTTTGACTTGCAATTAAGATAATCTTTTAAAATAATGTGAACATGCTGAGAGCACATAAACAAGTAGTATGGTTGGGATGTAACTCCTTCTACCCTTACAATTGTCTCTCCTTCCACAATCCTCCCTACCCCAGCCTTGTTCACTTACATGCACATACCATCACCATCAGAGAGCTCAGTATCTAGGAGGAAAGACAATTTATAATGCATAGTACTTTGAACCTAACTGTGCTAAGTGCTATAATTTAGACACAGACTATGGGAACTCGGAGGAGAAGCTACTTCTGATTTATTTTATCTGGAAAGACTTCATGAAGGTGGTGGTATTTGAGGTAGGCCTTTAAGGATATGTAAAATTTTTGACAGGAAAACATAAGAAAGAACAACAAACTGCCCTTTTTGATCTTGAAAAGGCATAGAGATGAGAAAGAAGGAGCAATGTTGCCTAGATAGCCAATTATATATTGTGGCTGCAGACTAAGGTGTCATGGCAGCAGGGAAGAGATGGAAAAAAAATGAGGAATGAAGAAAATGGAAACATATTTGAGAAAAAATAGTGACACTGGCTTGATGATGTTTGTGGTATGGAAACAAAATATCTGGGAAGGCATGCAAGCGATAGACTCTTTGGCGTGTTCATTTCTAGGCTAAACACTTTCTCTGCTTGGTACAAAAAAGAATCACTGCATTATGATCATCATAGGAACATATAAGACTTTTGGGATTCTGAAAGATAATCTGGTGGTGGTGGTGGTGGTGGTGTAAAATATGGATTAAAAATATTATTAAACCAAATCTACCTGATCATTAGACCTATCTATGGAAATTTGTAAAAGCTCAAAATCGTAGGCCCCCATCCCAGCCCAATAAAATCAGAGTGTTTTTTCATGTTTAGGACCTAGGGATCTGTACTGAAGCAAACAAACACACAAAAGCAAAAAACTCCCAGAAAATCTGATCCAGCTGGTCCCAGGACCAATGAATGGGAATCATTGAATGGGAGAGAAGAGGGATTAGTGACAGTTAGACAAAGAGTGCCAGTGTGAAATGATAAAGACTTGGACTGAGGCAGAGCAAATGGACAGAAAATGGATTCCAGAGACATTTCTGAGACTGAAATCAGAAATACTGGCTAATTGATTAGATATTAAAATAACTCAAAGATGACAGTGAAGTTTTCAACTTGAGCAACTATCTCGCACATGAAGGGTGATTTCACTAGCCAAGTTAGGGAATGAAGAAAAGGGAAGCATATTTGAACAGGAAGATAAAGAGTTTGGCTTGATTATGTGTCATTTGTAGTTGGGTGGAAGTATGTAGAAAGTAGGTAAAATTTTAGATATGGGGAAAGGCAAGACTAAAGATAAATATATTTTTTAAGATTTTTATAAAAAATATACCTGACACACAATATTATATTAGTTTCAGGTGTACATCATAGTTATTTAACAGTACCCACCTATCACTATACAGAGTTATTACCACATTACTGATTATATTCCCTATGCTAAAGAAATTATCACCATGATAAGTCCAGAAACCATCTGACATTGTACCACATTATCACATTATTGATCTTTCCCCCTTTAAAATTTTTCAATGAGTTGACATTCAATATTATTTTATATTAGTTTCAAGTGCATATGAGTAGAAT